TCCCCTGGTCTACAGGTCAATAAGGGTCTGTTCATCCGGTGCGTCCGTTCACTCCCTAATTCCCTACTTCCTCCCTGGTCTTCCACACAACCAGGGTCTGCCCTTCCCGTGCTAGCTCACCATATAACATCCCCTGGTTGGACGGCCAACCAGGATGATTCCCTCATGAAATTCACTTCAACCCTGGGTGAGAATTTCTCCACTACCTCGTCTCTACCTCTCTCCAGAACCTGGTTCCCTTCCCCCACCCTAAACCCTTTAGAGTTTCTCTTCCTCGCACCCCGTGTCAGTCACCTCTTTTGAAGCGTTTGTGCAACCTTTTCCCCTCTGCACGTCTCACACTATCCATCCGTGCACGCTCCCTAGTAGGATGGTGGCTTTACTAGAGGTGGCATTTGACAACCAGAAGTCGAAATGGCACATCGTGAAGATACGTGGCGTCAGCCACGTCACCTCCTCTATCACGGCACGCGGCGTCCCCCAGGAGTACTCATCGAACTGCTACGAGCACGGACACAAAACAACAGTGAAGAGGCCATCTCGCGGGTCAAACTGGAAGAATGTGGGGGAGCGCATCGTCAAGAATCACATCCAACACGCTGTGGTGCGTCAGCTAACCCGCGAGGTCGGGGGCGACGCGTCGTACGAGACGGCCATGAAGCAGGTATGGAGCGGTTTGATGGGTGGCCAAAGGGGTGGAGGGATTCGAACTCCATGCGTTTCCAGGTACCCTAGCTGCCCTATTCCCATATTTCTCCAAGTGTATAGACGGACCTACCCCTTAGCCAACCCCGTAACAACCTCGTGCCTAAGACGCCACTGCCGCTTCCATCCTCCAAATGCCATGCACGGCACAGGCATCCCTGAGGAACCAGCGTGTCTTTACCAAGACCCACAAGAAGATGGAAGCGGGGGACACACGGGATCCTGTCTTTCGCAGTTACATGAGGACCGCGGGGGTGCTGGCGATGCACGAACTGGAGGAGCGCCTTCGCCTCGCCAAGATTAAGACGCGGACAATCTTTGTACGTTAACTAGACCCTGAGGCATGGGTTTGGGGATTGGGATGGAACGTGAGGGCGGGGCAGGGAGTGGCAGGGTGACTGGGCACCTTATGGCAGGGAGGAGATGGCCGTGAGTGGGAGGGAGTGGTATGGCTTGGAAGGTCAAGGGACGGAATGGACAGTGATGGGAGGGAATGTATGGGCATGGCATGGAATGGGAGGGTATGGACAGGGACGGGAGGGAATGGATTGGGAAGGCATGGAATGGGAGGGTATGGACAGCGATGGGAGGGAATGGATGGGGATGGCATGGAATGGGAGGGTATGAACAGCGATGGGAGGGAATGGACGGGGATGGCATGGCCTGGGAGGGTATCCCAGGGATGGGAGGGAATGGATGGGGATGGCATGGAATGGGAGACTGCATTGACTACTTGGCTACCTCAGCTCTTAGGGTCCCATTTAATAAATGGGCATGGCATGGAATGGGAGGGTATGGACAGAGATGGGAGGGAATGGGAGGCCATGGACGGGGATGGGAGGAAATAGGAGGGAATGCACGGGGATGGGAGGGAATTGGAGGGAACGGGGTAGGAAGGAATCACTGAGAATGGTAGTGGGAGTGGGAGGGAAAGGGCCGCGAACAGCAAGCTCTCGCAGGATTTGGAGAGAGAGTCAGGGAATAGCAAGGAATGAGTCAAGTGGGACGGGGAGGGGGCCTTGGGAGCGGTACCAGTGGGATTGGTGGGGTTTGGCCAGTGAATGGCATGGAATGGCAGCAATTTGGTGGGACCGGGCTCTCTTTTTTCCACACCCTAAACCCCACCGTGGCCCCTCTGTCCACGTCTCCCCTCTATCCCCTCCTGAGCTCAATCCGTCTAATCATACAATATGACTATCATGTGCCATGGTACCATGCCTCCTTGCCAAGCGCTGCCCTCCCATCTACGATAATTCAAGGCACACTCGTGCCCCCTCTCTACACCCACCCGCCTTCCCTGAACTCCCCCCATTGCCCCCTACCCTAAACCCAGGTCCACACAGCCATGGCCATCCCCCCCCATGACAGCATGGAGTGGACCTCAAAGGGCCAGTTCGTGAAGGCGAGCCCTCACGAGCGCCTCTTCTCTGACGTCTCGATCAGGCCTGGCGGCGGCGTGGGGGAGCCGTGGTATGGTCGTGTCCTGGTGCTTTTCCATTACCAGGATGGGGAGGTGGAGAAGCGCGGGGCGTTCATCCAGTACTACACCGAGGCGCAGAAGCCTTGCCCCATCACCGGGTGCAAGCGCCTGACGCCAACCTTGGGCATCGACAACTATGCCGTTGTGGACGTGGACAGCATCCTGAGCCTTGCACATGTGGTTCCGTGCTGCACGGACCCGAAGTACCAGCTCGTTAACCGGTTTCTTTTCTGAACCACCGGTTGCGCTCTTATTTATGCATGACTTCGTTTAAATTGACCTTGTTTTAGAGGTTGACAATTGAGTGACTCGTACTGAGCATGATACTTTTAGTTTGCAGCGACAACCATTCACAGTGCTCGCAGCAGGTGATGACCCCACTAATAATATAGCAACAAACCCTATCATTTTTATTTCCCACACATGATATATTCCATACATAAACAATTACGTTCGAACATAACAAAAAAAACACAGGAGTGTACTACGATTGGACAGACGCTTATCGCTTTGAAATCATAGGGTTTAGAAATCGTAGCTTTTGCAAAACATACATTTTACATTTTATTTCTCCAATGCTGTCTCCCCCTCTCCTAAGCTGAAACCCCCTATGTTCTCTCCCTCTATCCTAAGCAGTCCCAGATTGGGACAAACCTGTCTCCCCTGACCTATGCTGGCCTCCCCCCTCCACTGCTGACTCCCCCTCTCCAATGCTGGCTCCCCCTATCCTATGCTGCCGCCCTCTATTCTATGCTGTCTCCCTCTCCAAGTCTGTCTCCCCCTCACAAATGCTGCCACCCCCTATCACATGCAGTCCCCCTCTCTTGAATGCTGCCTCCCCCTATACACTGAGGAAGGCATGGCGAGGGGGGTAAAGGTGGCGAGGGGAGTTAAGGTGGCAAGACGCCATAAGGTGGCCAATGGGTGCCATCGAAAGAGAATGGACCTGCATGCAGGATTGATGGAAATAGTAAAGAGACAAAATCAGCGGTCGATATCGGTGGGCCGGCACATGCAGGTCCCCATAGCTTTCTTGCTGTGTGGCTTGACCGCACTCATGAGAGGGACAGAGGCCGCAACATTAGCCGATCTGGTCTTTGTCTTAGCGGCTGCCACTCCAAAAGTTTTTGAGAAGTTGGTTGCAGCGGCAACATCAGCAGGTAAGGCCCATGTGCTGCAATGGAAACACGTCCAAAACAGTGCACGCAAACTAGTATGCAGCTAGAGCATAACGACTGACGCAGTGCCTCAAACACATATCTTGCCATGTGCAGTGGAGGATGGGTTAGAGTCAGAGAAGCAGATGCGCCTCCAGTACGATGCTCATGCGAGCAAGTTCCAGTACAACCGGGAAGGGGTTGGCATTAAAGTTGTCGACATTCTGGACCGAGTGCCATGGAAATTTGTTGGGCTGAAGTACGACTTCGAAGAATACCACAAAACAGAGGACGGAGAATTGGTCCACATTAACATGTTTGGTTGGGGAGGCGATCGGAGGGGGGTGGAGTACAAACAGAAGAAAACCCCAGGTGAGATGCGGGGCTTGCACATCGCCCCAAGGCAGCAATGTTCCGGCCAACTGTGAGGGCGATGTGCAAGCCCCGTGCTTAGTTGCCCTCATAATGACATGACTGTGAGCCGCCCCATGCCCGTTCAATGCAGGCGGAAATATGGGCAACGGAGACATCATGCCGTCGGCGGCAGGTGCAGATCCGGGCTGTGGTGAGGGAGATGATGTCACCATTGTGGGGGATACCAATGTACCGCCACGGAGCGTGTTGGGCTATGACGTCGCTGAGCATGATGGCAGTGGTCGAGAGCAAGGGGAGTGGCGGGGTGAGACTGAGCAGGTGCTAAGGGGCAGCGCTCGGTTTGCAGCCGAGATGGGGGAAGGGGATGGCGATGAAGTCAACAACCATACCCCGTCAAGCCCACTTGCCTGTGTCCCTCACGATGAGAAAGAGGCCCTAAACACTATGGCCACGCCCACTACAGTCCCCGAATCTGACCGAAGGTATTTGCTAACCACGTAAAGGACATGTATAACTGAAGGTATTTGCTAACCTCTTCTCCATCCTCTCTCCCTCTCCCCAATCCTCTCCAGGCCCCACCCATCGTCTCTCCATCTCCCCCATTCCCTCTCCCTCTCCCCAATCCTCTCACCCTCTGCCCCATCCTCTCTCCCTCTCCCCCATCCTCTCTCCCCCTCCCCCATCGTCTCTCCCTCTCCCCCATGCGCTATCCCTCTCTCTCTCCCATCCTCGGTCCCAAAACTTCAAAACTATCCGCCCATCTCCAATACTTTCACCCCATCTCCCATGCTCTCTCTATCTACCATGCTCTCTCTATCTCGCTCATGCACTCTCCCCCCCCATCTACCAGCTCGTTCCCCTCTCTTGCACTCTGTTCCCCACTATCCCCTGCTCTCACAACCTCAGTGTCCCAGTTGCCAGGAGGGGAGCTGCTGAGACTACCGTGCCTGGGTGGCGGGGAGAGGGGGTGGAGGTGCCGCGGGTCAGTGCTCATTTTGCAGCCGGGATGGGGGCAGCGGACGGCCATGAAGTCAACAACCAGCATCCAGCGTCCCCACTTGCCAGTGCCCCTCTCAGTGTGGAAGAGGCCCTCATCCCAATGGCAACCACATGGCAGAATTCAGACCAAAGGTATTTGCGAACTAAACTTAGGACGTGGCTGCTATTTTGTCCACAGGGGGGCCTCATGGTTCGGTTAGAGGCTCACTCTCTCCCATCCGCTCTCTCTCTCCCCCATACCCCCACTCTCCCATGTTCTCTCCCTCTCTCCCCTTCCCTCTCCCTCTGACCTGTTCTATCCCTCTGTCTCCTATCCTGTCTCCAACGGTCCTATGCCCTTAGCCCATCTCCCATGCTCTCTCTCTCCCTCTCCCTCTCCCCCCCCCCCCTCTCTCTCTCTCTCTTTCTCTCTCTCTCTCTCTCTCTCTCTCTCTCTCTCTCTCTCTCTCTCTCTCTCTCTCTCTCTCTCTCTCTCTCTCTCTCTCTCTCTCTCAAGCGGTCCTTAGGTATTAGCCTTATAAGTTGTACAGGTACAAATGAGAGATGTAAGGCAACCTGTGGTCCCCAGCAGCAGCCTACCGCTGCTCAGGAGACCTCGTCTAGGCTTCAATCACTGCTTCTAACTCCCCCCAACACTCCTGGGCAGCAGCCCCCCCTCCATTCTCCACAGGACTTAGTCCCCCTCCGCGACTATCGTGCCGTAGAGGTCGCCTTAGATAGGCGCACTCATGCTCTCTTCCCCTCTGTTGCACGATGTTCTCCCCTATCCCCTGCTCTCACAGCCCTAGTGTCCCCGCTGCCAGATAAGGTGCTGCTGAGACCTTCGTGCCTGGGTGGCCTGATCCCCCACCCTGGGACGAGCTCACAGCCAACATGGTATGTCTGATCGACCCGCTGCCGTTCGTTCAATTCTTCAGGGCCCTGGGACTGGCATGCAGTACTGGAGCCGGTTGCATGGGCACTATGGGGTGGCATTCATTTAGGCGGGTGTGGGCATGCATTGAGATGGTGTGGATATGCAATAGTTGCGGGGAGACTCTAGAGTTTTGGAGCACAACACGGGTACGGTCAAACATTATTGATGGCACGAGGGGACCCCTCACTCGTGCTTTGTTCTGAGGGCTTTTGCGATGGCGGGGGTAGGTTGGCAGCAAATGTGCGAGGTCACACGCACTTTGGGGCTGCCCAAGTTTCCTAAAGAAACGTTCAACCGCTATATGCGTGACGCCGGAGGGCTATGGCAAGCCATTACCCTCCGTGCTGCAAAATGTATGGCTCGGACCCGTCGGTTCATGAAGCAGCGCAGAGTTCCGGGAGAGTGGGTGGCTGTTGATGGGAGGTGGTCGCATGTTCGGGAGGGCTCATGGTGCACAGTGACATTCATGGACCCGGTAACACGGAAATTGCTTCACTGCGTTACAATAAAGAAGTCCGACCACGGAACCTCCTCCGTGGAGCTTGAAAGGATTGCATTCGAGCTCGGGCTGAAACAACTTAGGGAGGCGGGTTTCATTATCAATGGAATCATAAGCGACGAAGAGACAGCATTCAAAGCAGTTGCACGAAAGCTTCGCATTGCCCACCAAATGGACGTGTGGCATAAAGGGCGCTCACTAACCAAGCAATTTGTGAAAGATTTCATAGAAGTGCAGCGCGGTGAGATGAGCGTGTCTGATTGTAAAACTGCTGCCAATCTGTGGACGAAGACACGCAAGCAGATGTGCGGATGGCTCAACGACACGAAGGTCCAATGTCCAAACGTTGGGCCAAACTCCAAAAAACAGACCATCGTCCAGGCCGTTTGCATGGCCAAGGGCATTGATTTTGAGCCGGAGGGGGCTGCCCCTTCGAAGTGGTTGTATCCTGAGTTGCGCGAAGTATTGCGGACCAAGAAAAAAAAGGGCGCAGCCCCCGCCCATAAACGACCAAGACCTGGCAGCCCCAACGCGGTCGGGGAGAATGTGCCACCGTGTGGGGGGGAGGCAGCAGCGTCAGCTGATCCCTCTGATGGGGATCTCGATCTGCATTCTGTGGACGATGGTGCCATGCTGGTTGACGACAGCGGAGAGCTCGTTAAGCCCGGGGAACAAATCGCTGTGTCCTGTGGTGGGCACGCTGCCGCCTCGTTCATTTTCCAAAATGGATCACCAATTGGATTTGATGATGTGGAGCTCTCCTCACCATTCGATCACATGGGTTATGAGGAAGGTACGCCCTTTACTGGCGACCGTGTGCATTGGGTGACAAAGTCAGTCCTGCCTTGCGCCACATGCTGCCCACTAATGCCTCGCTTGCCTCATTGTAGGCCACGCTGAAGGTCACAAAGATGGTATTGCAAACCTGGCAGCAACCGAGAATGGAGAAACCCGACCAGCACAGCATGCCCATCCAGTCCAACCAGCCCAACCAGCCCGACCAGCCTAAGCAGCCCAGCCAGCCCAACCAGCCTGACCAGCCCAGCCAGCCCAGCCAGCCTGACCAGCCCGACCAGCCCGACCAGCCCAGCCAGTCCAATCAGCCCAACCAGCCCAACCAGCCCAGCCAGCCCAACCAGCCCAGCCAGCCCGACCAGCCCAGCCAGCCCAACCAGCCCAGCCAGCCCAACCAGATCAACCACCCCAGCCAGCCCAACTAGCCCAGCCAGCCCAATCAGCTCGACCAGCCCAGCCGGCCCAACCAGCTCAACCAGCCCTGCCAGCCCAACCAGCCCAGCCAGCCCAGACAGCCCAAGACTGTGAAGCCAGCGGTGAGGCAAGACCACAGCATTGAGTAGAAAGGGCGCCGCGTAAGCGACCCCGCTCTGCAGCAAAGTCAACTAGCCAACCGCATGATTACGTCGAGGTGAACCCCATGAACCGGGCTGAACCCCATGATTCGCTGGATTACGTCGAGGTGTCACTAGCCAACCACTTTTGCGCCCACTTCTATCGTGTCATGTCTCGGTGTGCAGCACTCACTAAGGCAGGATCGCCCATGACAGCGCAAGAGGTAGCAGATGAGATGGCCACGGCTGCGGACCACTGGGCTGGGATACATACTGGTTGCAGCCGCCGTGCCCACACCCCTCGTTGTGTGGCTGAATCTTGGGGCTCTGAAAGTGCCGTGTACAAGCAAGGGTCAAAGACCCACGTGGCTTTTCAGGACTGGCTGGCTCTGCATTGCGGCCCTGAAGCAATGGAGCCCTATGTGCTAGGTGCCACCAACTGGCTCAACGAGTCATTTCATTCTCTTATATGCAAGTATGCCCCCAAATGCATCCACTTTCAAGGGAGCATGCGGGCTCGGGTTGCACTCGCGGCGTTACATTGGAACCACACTGTGGATAGGCTTGTAAAGGCTGTCACTAAACGAGTACGAATGACAACCCGTGTGACCCGTGGTAGCACGGAGCGCTTGCTTGGCGAGATGGACTATACCTGGGTGGATGAGATAATGACCAAATGGATGTCGAAGAGCGCCGAGCCTGTGGAGAGTGATGTCATCCTGCCGAGCCTGCTGGCTAGTCCGCCTCCGCAACCAGAAACGGTGGTCACCCCTGCTACACCACTGCCCACAGCCCGCCAAAGCGCGATGGCTGTGGATCATACACCCATAGAAACCCCATTCTCATTCTCCTCTCCCGAAATAACAACGCGGACTACAACTGGGCAGAGGACTCGTTCAGCCAGCCGCCCATCTGCTGCTCGAGGCCTATTCTTTGGTGAGACTATGTGTTTAGTTGCGCAAGAATGCCAACAAAGCGAGGTTCTTAATTGGTATGTTTGCTTGCTTGCCTTCTTTTGTTCCCACGCGCACCAGCGGATATCACCAACACGCATGGCTGAGGCTGCTGGCTCACCATGAAGGACATGCAAACGCCAACGTCGGATCTCTTGCATGTACGTTCTTGAGCCCCCCCCCCCTCCCCCACCTCCTTTCCCCTCCCGGTCTCCCCAACCCCCCTTGCCTAGATGGCCATTTGACGCATATCCCCCAAACCACTCTCGGGTACAGCACTTCCTTAGTCATATGTCGCATGTACTGGGTTTGGGAGGAGACCACCCCCACGAGTCGGGTCATACAGTTCAGCCTGCTCTCCTCTCCTATGGCGTCTTGCCCCTCCACTCCCCACCCCCCATGCTGCTTATTTATCTGCAGGTTGCGGGATTTCGAGCTTGACCCCTCCCCAACTCCAACCAGCCGGCGCTGTTAAGGTGAGCTGCCCTATGGCGCTTTCCCATCCCAGCCACCCACTTAGGCCGGTCACTCAGCTTGCTGTGTGCATTCCTTCGCAACCCCATGGCTTTCTACCCATGTTTGACAAATGGTGGGTCATACTTTCCCCAAAGTACGTCCGTTTTTCTCTGCAGGAGTCGTGGCACAAGCAGCAGGCGCCGGAGTGGCTGGGATGGGACTGCCCAGTAGGGGAAGGTGGTCGGGGCTTTCTTTGTTCGCGAACTATGGACCTAAACAGCATGTGAGCGATGGCGCGGGCAGTGGGCCCTATGCACTTTCCTGATGGAATCAATCGTACAATGGTCATTGGCCTACCAACACATGTTACTCACCTATTGGGTCTCTAGCTTACACAAGTGACCTCACCATACTATCAAACGAACTGGCTTCGAAGTCTATCTCTGCAGGTACTTCCCAGGTGTCGGTAAATTGTCGCACATCATCTGCCTTGCAGTACACATACCCCTCGTTACTTGTCTCAGGATACAGTGACCCAATAGCAACATATACCAACCAGGGTAAGGTGATGCGCTGGTACTGGCGATCACATAGCAGCTCGGAGTAATCAAGGTAGCACCTGAACCTGTGGTGCTTTGGTTTGATCGGCACCCCATCCCATGTTTCCGGTGTGTTTTACCCACAGCACACCCTTATTATTGATTCGATTGTGCGCTCCCTGGTGGCCACATGACTTTGACTGTCTGAGGGGTAGCCGAGCACATTTGCTCCCCATTGCTCAAGAACCTCGTACTGCTTTGGAAAGGTCTGCAAAAAATGGGACAGAGACCAGCTGAAAGCGGGTATGTATCACACGGGTGGCTCTCCTGTTGGCCGATGGCTGCGTCGCGGCGGCCGCGCCGCCGGGGTTGAGGTTGGGGGGGCTGTAGAGATGTGGCTGTTGGCGGGGTGGCTTGGCAGGCGTCTGTGTGGAGCTACCCCTCCGGCTTGATTGGTCTCAGCTCGGGCATCGTCTTCGTGACAAAGCTCGTTAACTCTGCCAAGCAACCCGCGCCGCCGCTTCAGCAGCAGCCTCGCATTGCAATGGGCGGATAACATGGAAGCCAGGGGGTAAGGGGGAGCGGGCAAGGCATGTTGAATGCTGGTGTGGTGCAGTTCTGGTGGAACTGCAGTCTAGATTCCAAAGAGCACATGGCAGTTATGGGTGGCATACCTGGGTGGCATCCGGCGCCTAGGTGTCGACTGCGGGAGAGTGGTTGGCCCCTTGCTAACGGAGTTGTCAACAGCGCCCACTGTGGTCTCCGCCTGTGGCCGGGGGGATTTGGAGCCTTTGCCATGGCAAGTGCAAAGGGGAATGGAGGGTGGCGTGACCAAAAGTGGGCGGCAGAGGCGAAAGGATGGTGTGTTATCTGGGCCCATGTGCTGTAGGGTGCTGTGTATGGCACCACACCACTGCAGAAGTGGACGACATCAGAATAATTGAGGAGGTGATGGGTCTTACGAGGGGGGTGGGAGGGGGAGGGGGGTGCTGGGGGCAGGAAACAGTGTGCAGGATATGGTTGAAGGGTGTGGAGGAGGGGTGGAGAGGGAGAAGAGGATAGGGGGAAATGGAGAGGAGGAAAGGGGGAGAGGGAGAGGAGGATAGTAGGAGTGGGAGAAGAGGTTAGGGGGAAAGGGAGAGGAGGATAGGGGGTAAGAGTGAGGAGGATAGAGGGTAATGGAGTGGAGGATTGGGGGAATGGGAGAGGGGGATAGGGGGAAAGGGAGTGGAGGATTGGAGGAAAGGGAGATGCGGATAAGGGGGAAGGGAGTGGAGGATTGGAGGAAAGGGAGATGCGGATAGGGGGAAACGATGTGACGGATTGGAGGAAAGGGTGATGTGGATAGGGGGAAAGGGAGTGGAGGATTGGAGGAAAGGGAGATGCGGATAGGGGGAACGGGAGTGGAGGATTGGAGGAAAGGGAGATGCGGATAGGGGGAAAGGGAGTGGAGGATTGGAGGAAAGGGAGATGCGGATAGGGGGAAAGGGAGAGGAGGATTGGAGGAAAGTGAGATGCGGATAGGGGGAAAGGGTGTGGAGGATTGGAGGAAAGGGAGATGCGGATAGGGGGAAAGGGTGTGGAGGACAGGGGCGAAGGCAGAGGAGAATTGGGGGAAAGGGAGAGGGGGATAGGGGGAAAGGGATATGTGGATGTGGTCACACGGAGGGCAGGAATAGGGGTTTCTGGGAGAGGAGGATAGGGGGAAAAAGGGTGGAGGCTAGGGGGCAAAGGCCAGGAGGCGAGGGGGGTACGTAGAATAGGGAGGTGGTTACTGGTCATGTGGCCGGGAATATAGTAGGTTTGTATGCGTGGAATTTATCGGGTCGGCTTGTAGCCGACCTCTAGCGCCGGGGCATATCTAGTCGCCTCCGCACGCCTATTCTCTGTTTTCTAAGTCCCCCACCCTTGCACCCCCCTCGCCGATCCCCTGCTCCCCATCGCTCCTAAGTCGGCCATTTTGCCGCGCCTCTCCCAGCTCTCCCTTGCTTACACTGGCAGTGTCGCTAGGCGTCTTCCCCCCTTGCTTGGGCGGCCTGTTCCCTTTCTATCCGCGCCATGTTCCCCCCCCCTATCGGTGTCCTTTTCCCTACTTTCGAGACCCCCTTCCCTTGCCTCCCTTGCCCTCCTCCCTTTGTAGGAGGAGAGGTGGAAGGGAGATGGGGACCCCGTGGATGTGGGGGGCACGTACCTGACTCAAGATCATTGTTTTGCCTGGGTATCTGTAGACTGTCTGCGGGCTTCTCAGCGGAACCTGTTTAGGGGGTGTGCGGATAAGGGTTTTGCTTATGGAAGCCATGGGGAGTTGGTCGAAGGGATCTTCTGTGGCTGGTCTCGGTTGCAATGGAGGACACACCCTAAAGTGGCCCATGCAATGGGCAGCCTAATCGCACTACAGCGGGCAGTGCGTGTCTTGGCGGGGCATGGAGCAAGTTCGTGGTAGCGCCGCCGTGTTAGCGCGTGTCCTTAGGTGGCGCAGCGCTGGCCTGTAAGTACTGCCTAGTTCTCTGTACCGGATCTCATCTTTGATCACCTCGCGGTGATTTATCCCCATCGCGGGTTCCGTTTTTTCCAATCGCGTCACGGTGATTATCGAGGGACATCGCATTTGGCTGGATAACTACAGTTTCCGGCGCTGCGGTCGGTTATCTATGGATGTGTGACCCGTCGCCCGTTTGTTACCTTTTGAAGCTTGGCTAGGTGTCTGCAGCGTGCTCTAGTCCGTTTACTTGCTACCACCGACACGCTGGTTTGGGCTGTGAAAACCCGCACCCCAACAAAACACTCACTTGTGAACTCGGTCTTCTCTGCGCTTGCAGCCGTTTCCGACTTTCCCGCCTTGCTGGACTCCATTGCCAGAGTTCGATTGACGATTTTCTTCAGTTACCGGCCCTGTTTTGGTTATGCTCCCAAGCGTGGCCTGCAGGTCGTGTGTAGGTTCAGAACTCTTCTGGCATGGTGTTTCGCATTGTGAATTCGCAAAATGGGTCGCAGTGTTGCTGCGACCCAATTCGTGATTGCCGTTATTTCGTCCCCCTCGCCCAACTCCTCTGCAGCACTCGTCCCTCGCCACCCAATCCTGGTCCATCAACTCAACCGAGTGTTTTACACTCGGTAAACTTGGGTCCCTGGCTTTAAGGGCTTTCTGGATTCAACACAGGAAAGCCTAAGTACAAAAACAGATCCACAATGACTAGGTTAGCTCACTAGCTAGTTAAAAAATGGCAGCACCCAGCCATTTCTCTACCATTGCAGATTCGAAGTATAGTCACTATAGTGGCGCGCTACCCTCCTTAAGGTGTTACCTTAACTCTAGTCGCCCCAGTCTCCTCGTTTCAGCCATGCCCTGTACGCCCTCTCACGTGTGGGAGAATGTGAGGCGTTTTTATAGTGAGGATGGCAAAGTCACCAAAACTATTTGCCTCCGCTGCGAGCAAAATGTCTCGCCCAGCGCCACGTGCATTAAGGAGCACCTCTACGAGACGCCTTCAACCAAAACCAAGAACATCGCCGAATGTGCGTCCGCTTTCGCCAAGAATTTGCACACAAAAAGGCGACACGGAGCGCTCCTCTTCATGCTCGCTGTCCGTGCTTGGATTGACCTCCACAGTGGAGGGGGCAAGTACGAGGCGGATGAGTTAGAGCGACATTCGCACTTTGACCGATCCCAAGGCCAAAGAGCAGTTGGACAAGCTTTGGGCAACCGCTGTGGCGGAAAACGATTGGGCATTCCGCTCATCATAGTAAGTTCCCCGCAACCTCCCCCCCCCCCCCCCCCTCCCCGCTTTTATTGCGTACGCGTGCAACTTAAGCAAATTTCATGCGTTGTCTAGTCCATGTCCATGGGGATGTTGGATTTCGTTTAGATGAAACCCCCTTCCCGCCCCTCCCACTCCACCACGCCCAACATCTCAGGTCCCCGGCGGTTCAGGCATTTGTAGACGCTCTTGTAGCCTACGGGAAGTATTACAAACTTCCCTGGGCCTACAAGATTTCTGGTCCGCTTCTTGCCAAGCTGAAAGGCAAGGTGGCGTACCATGTCGCACCCCTCAAGGCAACATGGTCAACCGTCGGCTGCACATTGTCGATCGACGGTTGGTCATGCTTGAAAAGTCGGGGTTTGGTCGCTATTATTGCGTAGCATGACACTGCCCCGGTCCTTGTCGACATCGTGGATTCCAAAACCAACAAGAAAACCGGCGTTTACCTAGCGGGTCTTATTCGCAAAGCCATTGCCCAAGTGGGTGATTCCTGCGTTGGCCAAGTGGTGATATACAATGCTAGTAACAACAAAAAGGCGGCGGAGGAACTGAAGGATGGGTTTCCTGCAATTGTCTTTACCAACTGCGCTGCCCACTGTTTGGACCGCATGTTTGAGGATATGGGAAGGCTGCACGTAGTGCAGAGGGTCTTGAAGGAGGCACACTGGGCGGTGATGCTAGTGAAAAGCAGTGCCAGCGCCGTAACGCTATTCCGGGAGGTCTTCAGCAAGCTTGAACTTGTGCGCCCGGATGCTACCCGCTTTGGCACTCAAGTAATCATGATCCAGCGGTTCCTAGACATGCAGGAGGACATGAGGCGGATGGTGGTGAGCAAGGAGTGGAATGACATTCGGTTTCCAAGTCGTTGGAGGGTGGGAGGATACGAGACCTCCTTTTGGAGAATAAGTTTTGGGAGTCGGTGGAGATGGTGCTTGGCCTCTTGACGCCCCTGTATGAGGTCTTGCGCTCAGTGGACACAAGGGCGCTCCTCATGTCCCCGATTTATGGCCTCATGCTAGACGCCATTACCAAGACCACCGTGGCCGCTCAGAAAGTAGGTACGCTCTCATCTTAATGTGATTCTCGTATAGTTCCTGTGCTGACCCATATGTGCACGTACCTTGGTTGTTGGTCGTGTCTCCTTGGGCATTAACAACAATCCGTCCCTCCGTGCCACCATCTTGCAGCCACCTTCTTCGTCAAGCAGACCGAACTTCTACTGAAGAAGAGCAAGGCCGCATTCCTCGAGGATGTTAAGCGTATCGTATCCACCAGGTGGGATAAGCAATTGCACAACCCCCTCCATGCGTTGAGTTGGCTGCTCAACCCGAAGAACCAAATTTCGGAGAGGTATGGGGGGAGAAGGAGATCATGGACAGGGCGACGGCCGTGATCAAGGCTCGGTCCCCGAATTTGGCCACGAGTACCCTCATCCAGATGCAACTGGTGTCCTACCACAAGGGTGAGGGAAAGTTGGGGGGGCGGGAAGCTCGTTGGGCTGTGACGGCATTGGTTGAGAAGGGGCACATGTCGAAGGCAGAGTGGTGGCTGGTTTTCGGGGGGGAGCTAAGGTCATTGCAAGCGCTAGCTATGAGAGTTCTCTCACAGCCATGCACCGCTAGCGAGGTCGAGCGTGCATGGTAGGCAATGGCCCGGGTGCAGCGGCGTGATCGGTACAACCTCAATGCAACAACCCTCATCGACGTCACCTTCGTTTCCTTCAGCCGGCGCGCTAGGGCTTCGTTCGATCAACGCACGGCATTGCGAGCGAAGCTGTACAAGGACCTTGGATCAGGGAAGATCCAGGAAGGCGCTCCCGAGCCTACCCCAGCATCTCTACAGGAGGACACCGAGGCGGAGGAGGAGGGAGAGGAGGACGCTGAAGGGTGCTCCATTGATTGGAGCACCTTTGGCTTTATGGGTCTGAAGAAGCTG